TTTTTAAAGAGTTTCAAAATTTGCCCTCAAGCTTTGGAATTTGAAAACTCTCATTTATGAAATATTAAATTCTAAACCCTATAACTTTAAAAGGTTAAAATTCAACCCTTATACTATTATAATATTAAAGGATTAATACTTATATATATATATATATATATATATATATATATATATATATATATATATATATATATATATGTATGTATGTATAAGACAAGTCAGTATTACCGTTAGTATGTCTCATTCACGAAGCAGGTCTATAAGGGGGGTATAAGGAAATTGTCTATTAAATAGCGATTGAATGGGTGCCCACTCTCACCCTCCGCTTCCTTTACCGATGGAGGGTCGTTAGTCGAACAAGTAGGATAAGACATTAATACTTGTTAAAAAGTATAATGATAATGATAATCTACATGTTTTTATAAATTCTCAATCTTAGTTATTTTAGGAAAAATGTGAATTGATGCTATTCCATGAAATTGCACTCTGCACCTTGCCAAATCGTTAGTGGAGCATGTGTGGTTAACCGACACACTAACTTGGACTAGAAAGGGTGGCAAATGGTAGCTTGATGTTTGTCATAGATCAATAGAGCATGAGTGGTTAACCGGCACATTGATTAAGTGATAAATGACATCAAGAGTACCAAACACATTTGCATGGTTATTCACACTTTTTTTGTGATCCTCGGTATCCCAGTCACAAACTTGAAGGGCATAATCGAGATTTAAACATGTCATTGAAAAGTTCAATGAATCTCAAAGATCTAGGAATTTCAATTCATTTAAAACTTAATCCTTAGTTTCATTTTTCATGGTGGAATTTGGTAAATCGTCATTTACTTACCTTCAAATATTTTGCAATTGGATTACGACATCCCTCTTCCGAATTGTGAAATATTGTGTTGGGTCCTAGCCTTAATATTTCATTTGAGTGTTGTATTAAGGATTCTTATCTAATCTAACCTTGTCTTTCTTTTTAGATGTCTACCCCAAACGTTGTTGGCTCCAACCCTTCCGACTTTTTCTCCCTCGTGAACTTATGTGGGAGGGTGATTTTCAATGGGCCAAATTTCAATGACTGGATTCGAAACATACGGATGGTCACTCGTTATGAGGATAAGGAATATATCCTCGATAAAGAGCTAAAGGAGGTTGATGAAGCTACTACTACTCCTGAAGAAATTGTTGAATATAGGGCTCGTGAGAAGGATACAACAAAGGTGTTGTGCGTCATGCTTGCCACTATGATAGTTGAACTCCACAATTCCTATGAGGACTACTATCCTTTCGAGATGCACCAACACTTGATGGAAAGGTACCATGAAAGTGCTCGACATGAAAGGTATAAAATCATTTCCTCCATGATAACAACCAAAATGAATGATGAAGAGTCCATTACGGCCCACTTACAGAAGATGCAAAGATATGTGGACAACTTGTTGAAGTTGAATGTCAATTTTGATGAAGAGTTGGTTATCGACATTATCATACACTCTTTACCTTCTTGTTATGATCAATTCAGAATGACTTATCATATGAACAAGGAGGAAGTCACTCAAAGCAAGCTTCAAGGCCTTCTTAAAACTGCTACTGCTGCTGCCCTAGTCCTAGCAAATGGACATGGTAAAGGGAAGAAAAAAGAAAGCAAAGAATCACAAGGGAAAGTCTCGTGATGGAGCCTCTTCTAGTGGGTCCAAAGGTGCTCATGTTTCACCTCTTCCAATCCAAACGAAGCAGAGTGCTTCCATTGTCATGAAAAAGGGCACTGGAAACGAAGTTGCCCTAAGTACTTGCAAGACATTAAGGATGGGAAGATAAAACCCACTTTCGCGGGTATTTACACTATTCATTCTAATAACTCATCACATGCTAATTCTTGGGTCCTTGATACAAGATTTGGTCTTCACATTTGTTATGATTTGCAGGGTCTAAAATAAAGTAGGGATGTGGAGCACGGGAAGATAAACTTGATTATGGGGAATAGGAAAGCATCAATTGTCACCAAGATTGGAGTTTATTCTTTATTGCTTAGTAACGGGTTAGAGTTTGATTTGAATAACTGTTGCTACTCGTCAGAAATGAGGAGAAACATTATTTCTTTTCATGGTTTGTATAAACAAGATTTTAGATTTTCATTTAATAACGAAATTGGTTCTATTAATGCTTTTTTATAATGGTAAGTTTTATTTTGAATCATTCCTTGTAAAATGAAGGAAGAATTCATTGATCAATTCTGTCCTCCCTTAAAGATAGCCAAACTGAAGAAAGCCATTGCTAACTTTGAACAACAAGCTGGAGATTCCTTATACGAGGCGTCAGAGAGATACAAAGGTCTACTCAGAAATTGCCCACATCATGATCTTAATAGTCAACAAAAAGTCTTCATTTTCTATGATGGAGTGAATGTGACCACAAGGCAACTCCTTGATTTACAAGGACCTCTCACAAAGAAGCCACCCCCGGTGATCAAAGAACCAATTGAATAATTCTCTAAACATTTTAGGGAGTACCACAACCTAAGGAATGACTTGACTCGAGAGGCAGTGAACTCCATGACCGATGACATGGCAACGATGATGACAAAGTTGGAAAGCATGGACATGCGAATGACTAAGATGGACCAATCCATCCATGCTATTAGGGTGGGATGCGAAAAATGTAGAGGGCCCCACTTTACAAAAGATTGTGACCTTGATGAGAATGGGAAGCGGAAGGTACAAGTATGCTATTCAAGTGGAGACAGGTATGATGATAACTGGCGAAAACCCAAGAAAGAATGACTACCATATGATGAATATAAAAAAAACAAGGTAGGATAAATACAAGCAAAAAGATAGAGGCTTCTATCAAAAGGAGGAACCGGTACATGAAAAGTAATCATATTTGGCAGACATGCTTACAAGATTCGTGGCTGCATCCGAGAAAAGACATAATGATACCGATGCTGCACTCAAAGATCAACAAAATATGTTGAGAGAAAACCAACTTTGATGAAAGATCAACAAGCTCTGCTAAGAAATCAGCAAGCATCTATTATCAACATAGAGAAACAACTGGGTCAGCTTGCTCAACAAGTAAACGAGAGAAGACCGGGTGGATTACCTATTAAAAGATTTCTAAAAAGTGTAAAAATATGAAGTGTAAGGACCAAAAGTGTCAAAATAGCTAAAGAATAAAAAGTAAAGTTGCCAAAAAACATCCAAATTTACTATTCCTAATTTTAAAGCCCAATAACAATACGGACAAATTCTGCCAAAAAAATAACAATTTTACTATTCCTAAAATATATTAGTGTGGCACATCATAAAAAAGAGAGCAAAACTATTTTTTTTATTATTTTAGAAAGATATTTTCACAATATATATATATATATATATATATATATATATATATATATATATATATATATATATATATATATATATATATATATCAAATTTTTGCCAAAAAAAAAGGAAGATTGGTTTATAATAAATTGATTTTGAACTATGGAGTTATAGATAGTTTGTAAAAGGAGTTAAAAAATAATTATATATACATAATAAAGCCTAATTATCAGAACTTGCCATTATTATCATATAAGTATTTTTAAATCACAAAAATCAAAAAATAAGACTTGTATTATGGTTATTTGATTTTGGTTGGTTGGTCTAATGCTGGAGACAGCCTGTCAGCAACAAAGTTCCACTCTCTTTCTCTCTCTCTCTATGCCTGAGTCCCCTTCTTCCCTTACCTTACGTTCCCTCTATTCCCCTCTCTTTCTCTCTCCTCCTAGGTTTTTCGTTTTTTTCCTCTTCTTTTCAATCTGGTTTTAGCTTAAGGAGATCCGGAATTTCTCGTTTCCTTGTAAGTTATTTCGTCATTGATCTGTTTTTCTCCTTCGAATTCATCTTCCTACTTGTTATATATAGTATTAATCCATGGTTATGAACTTCGGTTTCTTGCTTTAGGTTCGCAAAGTAAAATCTCTCTCTACAGTACTCTTAATTTTTCTCTAAATTCATGAGAAAATAGTTTTGTGTATTGTCCTTTGCTGGTTTGTTTTTTCAATTTCAGTTGATTTTCATTTTGACATCTATCTGATATATTTGGACTTATAATTATAATCACAGAGATTGTATTCATGTTTAATTATGTTATGTATGCTTGATTTTACATGCATGCCTTCTGTTTTATGAATGGCAATTATTTTGGGGAAATTTGGTACAGAAGTTGGATTTCTTGAAGAAATTTATAGGTCTCCTTTTGTGATGAGAGTGATGTTTGTTGGATGAGTGGAAGGAACTTCACAACGAAGATAAAATCTAAAGACTCCTTGTGGTCAATGTATTTTGACCATATTACATTTTGTTAGATGCTTGGGGTTCCTTAAATGCATCCTTAATAGGCTGCAAATTTTCGTTGTTCTTGACATTTCTGGAAATCTCATTCCATAAGATCCATAGAATAGCAATTCAGGTTAGCCAATAGGATTAACATCCCAAATCTGCTGTAAGTTGTATAACTGAAGCATATAAAGGAAGTAAGGTGATACGTTTGTTAACACCAGTAGAACAACACATCTCTTCACATACCTCCCTTCTTGACAAGTGAGCGATGTCCTTTACACTTTATTTTGCATGTCTTTATTGTTGTATTACTATTATCGACATCATAAAAAGCTAATTCTTGACTTGTTGTACCTTATGCATACATTAGTACAAAAACTACACAATAACCCTGAATTTTTACCAGATAAATCTGTTTTTTTCCCTTTCTGAAACTTGTAGTACTTGTGTGTCCTCAGTCACTGATAACATATTTATTTATTTTTCTGGTGTAGGTGGTTTAGTTGACTAGCTACTGGGAAACATAATAAGTTACATAGTCACTTCAACTCTGGGATTTTACCTTATTACCCATACACAGAGTTGTGAATTATAAATTCTTACATGTAACAGGAAATTTTGAAGTCCATGCTGTCAGAGAGCATGCGTGGAATCTATTTTTTGGGTAATGCCCCTGACGAGCGTAGTTGCTGATGCACTCGGCGTAGTCACAATCTCTCTTGTCACACTTTTGGGTCTCATTGGTTTGCTTTGCATCTTATACTCCTTTTACTTTCGCGACCACATTCGTACCCAAACCCATACCCAACTCGGATACTTCAGTGGCCCGTGGGTTATCCGTATTATTTTCATCTTCTTCTCAATCTTTTGGGGCTTCAGTGAAATCCTACGTCTCGAATTCTTGAGACGCGAAGGCCGGGTCCTACACACTCTCAATTCAAAATGGCAGGAAAGGGTTTGCAAATACTACATCGTATCAAACCTAGGATTCTCCGAACCGTGTCTTTTTCTAACTCTTCTTTTTCTTCTTCGTGCCTCGTTACAGAACACGAGTTCCGGGCCGTTGAGCCGGAAGTGGAACATCAAAACGACGGTTTACGTTCTCCTAGGTTTCCTACCGTTGTTTGCGCTTCAAATGACGGTTGTTTTCGTCGGACCTCGATACGAAACGGATTTGCATTTGAACGAGAAAGGTTACTTTTTTAAAACGACGGCTGGGCCTGAGTACGAGAATGACGTGGCGCGCTGCTATTACCCGTTACTGAGTACCATCTTTCTTGGTCTTTTTGCCACCGTGTTGACTGTTTATTTGTTCTGGCTCGGGAGGCGGATACTAATTTTGGTCATCAATAAGGGGTTGCAGAGAAGAGTGTACACATTGATATTTTTGGTTTCTAGTTTTTTTCCATTACGGGTTTTGTTACTCGGTTTATCTGTTTTGTTCAAGCCAGGGGACGCGGTGTTTGAAGTTCTTGCATTTTTGGCTTTTCTTTCTCTTTTATGTTGTTCGGGGGTTGGGATTTGTGTTCTTGTTTACTTCCCGATTGCAGACTCTTTAGCTTTGAAGAATCTGCAAGATATCAGGGAACATGACACTCGCTCATTAATTGCTAACTGTGGCCCGCCTGATGATTTTACTACGGGGTCCACAAAAAGGGGGTCCATCTCGTTTAGGGCAATTGAAAGGGAGGAAAATATGGGAGGCTTTGTGGAGTTGAGTCTGTTTTCGCCTAGTCAGCATTTGACCCCGATGGGTTCGCCTCAGGTTCATGGCTGGCCGATGCTTCCTTTGGGGTCGAGCTTGTGAACTGTGATGGTGGATCGATGTCTGTGAACTCATTTTTGTGGTAATTCAATGAATGTAAAGGTTTTAGGTTTAATAAGGATTTTGATGTTTTTTTGGTTCTGTATTTTTGTTTTGTTTTGGTGCCACCCGCCTTGTTTTTTTGGTGGAACTGATCTGTATCTCGTCGTATTGTACTTTTGGAAACCTGTACAATTTCGTTAATGTTTGTGATTCAAGTTAATGCAAATTTATTCCTTGTTGATCCGATATTCATTTTTTTTATCAGCTCGCAATATCTTATTTTCTCTTAGTTACTAGAAAAGATCAAAGAGTTTCAATTCTAATAGCATATAAGTTCACGTCCCATGTGATGTTCCGGAGCAGAGTAATTGAGTGGAAATTTCACTCTTAAAAAAGGGTTAAAACACTTAAACCAACAGAAACGTGGACCTTCTGTATGGAATTGTAGCCGCCTACGAGATAATCAAACATCTGATTTACATACTCGTCTGAAGATTGTTGGAAGAAAATTATCCTTGAAAATAATGAATTAACATTAATGTCGATATTCTTGGTTTTCTTTATTGTTTGATATGTTTAACTGTGAAGGAGTTACGTTAGTTGTGTATGTCGGTAAGCGGTGTGTGTTTTTGTTTGAATTGAAATCCTTGGTCATGAGGTGTTGTCGTGAAAGATCCGGTATGTCACGTTCCCGGTGATCCCACCACAAAATTGAATAAGACAGAATTTGCGTTTGTTTTGTGCAATAAGTATTGGCTGAGTAGACAAGACATGTAGGGTAATGCCAGGTAATAAATACTGGGGGAAGTTTTGAGACATAAAAGAACATGGTGGAGAACGCAACAGTTGACTTAAGTCCACCTAACATATCCATCTCATATTCTCATTCCAACGCATAATAATCATCACTAAATCATCATGATAATTGATAAATAATTAGTGAATCATATAACTTATTGTATTTGAAGTTTTATATAAGAAAATGCAATCACAGCTAGGGTTATGCGTTTACGTGTTTGTCATACCCATTTGACATTTTAAAAAAGTCAAATTATTATATTTGATATTATTCTTCGAGGCCAGATATTATGTCAAATACACCATATGTTAAGTTATACCTTGATGATTTTTACATGTCCATGGATGTTGATCGTATGTCCAATCTTAAGACGTGTTTTTGTAGATGTAACGATACAATACCTCTAAATAACAATAATATTATGCAGTAGCATTTGATTGTATAATTAAATGTGTATTACCGAGTTTTTTTCCCCATAATTACTGAATAAATGCAGTATGTCCGCAACAAGAATATGAAACTGAGGTTAATATGTAGTTTTTTTTATGAGTTTAACGAGTTAATTATGATATCTTAATACACCAATCATTTACCTACTTGTGACTTGTCCTTTTTATTCCATCCAAACTCCTCACGAAATAAAACTGAACATTGTCAATTTTTTTGTTGACATGTAAGAGTAAATGGTCGTTTTATTTGGTCTTGAAAGAATACAATATTTTATCATCATTATCCGTCCAAACATTTTACCCATACATGATGTAATGGGAAAAAAATAAGAAAAAAAAGAAACAACCCTTAGACTATTAAGATGACAACAAACACGGAGTGTTGAGGGGGCAAGATAGACAGCTGCACAGAGTCTAATTTTTTTTATTATATATTTTTCTTTAAAAATAAAAATTTATAATAATGATAATGATATTTTTTTGGTTCGTCATTGGCCTTTGAGGATATTTAATTTCTCAGGACTAGTCCCGACAACAAATATATCTAAGGGTAGACATTTGATGTGTACTTAATGATAGAGGTGCCCAAATTAATTCAGTCATGTCCATTTTAGAACCCAGTTTGATTTTTTCCCCGCGCAAACAATTTGATTTTGTCCAAAATCATGTAGGGTTTTAAACCGGTACTTGGCACAAAATGTACGAACCTATATAAGAGGACCAAAATCAATTTTGAAAGTTAGGTTGGAAAAAATACATTTTCAAAAGATAAGACTGTTTTCGCTTTATAGTTTAATGAAATTCATATGATTGATCATAAATGAGCCAATAAGCCGATTTAACAAAATTCACAATTTGGTTTTTGCCAAAACCATATCAATTATATATATAACTAGTTGGCACAAAACGTCTGAACATATGTAACATGACCAATCAGTTTTGAAAGCCAGTTCGGAAAAAGACATTTTTTACGGATAAAATTGTTTTCGTTTTACAGTTTAACGAAATTCACATTATTGATATAAACGAGCCAATAAGTAAGTTTAACAAAATTCACAATTTGGTTTTGGTCAAAATCGTATCGGCTTTAAATGGTACTTGGCACAAAATGCCCAAACCTACGTAACATGACTAAAACCAGTTTTGAAAGTTGGTTTGGAAAAAATATACATTTTCGACGGACAAAATTGTTTTCATTTTACAGTGTAACGAAATTCACATGATTGATGAGAAATGGGCCAATAAGCGGGTTTAACAAAATTCATAATTTGGTTATCGCAAAAATCGTATCGGTTATATGGCACAAAATATCCAATCATATGTAACATGACTAAAACCAGTTTTAAAAGTTGGTTTGAAAAAAAAAACATTTTCGAAGGACGAAATTGTTTTCGTTTTACAGTTTAATGAAATTCACATGAGCCAATAAGTCGGTTTAACAAAATTCACAATTTAGTTTTGGCCAAAATCGTATCAGCTTTAAGTGATATTTGACACAAAACGCCCGACCGACGTAACATGACCAAAATCAGTTTTGAAAGTTGGTTATGGAAAAAAAAATCAAAAGATAAAATTGTTTTATTTTACGGTTTAATAAAATTCCCAAGTCCGATAAAAAACCACATCTCATTTAACCGAAAGAAAGATAAATATATTTGTAACTTTTAGTGGTCAATATATACCTCCAAATCCTCGTATCAACATTAACTTGAAGAAGGGATGAATGAAAAAGTATTTTTTTTTCTAATATATTCAAGAATCGGTTGTTAGACGGATTGCAAAGCGATTTCACTAAATATAGTCACAATTCGCTCGGACCAAACTCGTATTGGAAAATCGGTTTTCACAAAATCTATTTCAGTTTGATTTTCAGATTCCCCCTCAACATGTTGGATGCACGCCTCTACCCAGAGTTCTAAGTAACGCGACATGGCATGACATGGCGTTGAGACGTGATGTACAGGTCTCGAAAACGACCAAGACGGCTGTGTAAACTTTTTTTTTAACACGTTTTTTTGGTCTCCTATGGAGTCGAGGTTCCGATATTCTTTGCAAGTAACCCGGAGTCATCGCAGGTGAATCTCATGGCCACAAATGAGTTTTGTTCCTCTTTTGTTTTTATCTAAGCATATAACACACTTTTGTAATGTTCACTGCTTTCTGAAAGATGATTTTTTTGTAAACTTTTAGTATTATTGTAAACCGGTGAATGTATGTTAGATTAAATGTATATTAATATGTGAAAACATTAGGTTTTTGTTATTGTTTATATAATTGGATGATAGTGTGTGTGTGTGTCTATATATATATATATATATATATATATATATATATATATATATATATATATATATATATATATATATATATATATATATATATATATATATATATAGAGAGAGAGAGAGAGAGAGAGAGAGAGAGAGCTAGGTTCAAATGTTTTTATCAAGTATTGTGTGCCTAAATGCACCAATGAGAATTCAAGAAATAATAAACAGTTAAATAAATCATTTAAGGGTATTTTGGACCTTTTATACTTTTAATTAAGGAAATCATTTAATTGAATCTTGCAATTAAGGAAATAGAATAAGTATATTTGACCTAGCCTCTCTCTTAAATCTTGTCTAATAAAACCTCCAGAATCCTCAAACCTTTTCCACTCCTAGTTCACTAACCGGAAGATGCGATTGGAAAATTCTTCAATGGCGGAAGATGCGAAGGAAGGCAGTCAACGGTTCTTCGTTCCTCTCCCGTCGTCGGCAACAAAGAAGATCAAGGGGAAGATCCCCCTGTGCTCATCTTCGTCGAATTAAGGAGGAGAAGCACGATTGGAATCAGAAATCGGGAAGCACCTCCAATGATTCACCGATTCGAAGGAGGAGGAGGAGGAAAATATCGATTCCATGAAATCGTTTATCGCTAATCGAGTCATCTGTCATCAAAATCGATTTTAATCTTATTAATTGATTTTGTGTTTGAACTCAATCAATCTATTGAACAGAAATCGGGGAAAAGCAACAGCAGCAGATGGCGGTGAAGAGGTGCTCGGTGCCTGTTGTGTAGTCCACAAAAGGAGGTGAAAACAAAGGCAATAGTGGATTTTAGGTCGTCAACGACACCACCAAGAAAATGAATTGGTATGCTCTTGTACTAATCATAACATGTTTTTTTAGTTGTATCTCTAGTTCTTGACCACCAAGAAACTGAATTGATAAGACTCTCACTAATTTTTTTTGAAGAAATTGAAGAAGCACACCAAGTGTTCGATAAAATGCATAGTTGAAATCTAGGTTTTTTTTACTGGTTCTGGTCATGTTATTTGGTGTAAAAATAAACCATTTGTTATTTGTTAGTAAGAATTTCAATTGGAATTCAGATACTTGTGTAAATGAATTTCAATGTCTGCCACATTCTATTAGAATGGTTAATTGTTTATATGCATTATGATAGAATTTTGGTTAACTGTTTATATGTATTTTGATAGAATTTCAATGTCTACGACATTCTATTAGAATGGTTGTATTGTGTACTTCAGAATTTATAGTATGTTTTTTTAGTTACAACTTAAATGAATCATTCTTGCAGAATGTCTTTTAGAATGATGTTAGTAACAATCATCAATTTGATGCCTATTATTCACAAAAGATTTTTAAAAGAATGTTATTTAAGTGCAGTTTGTAATGTTTTCTGTCAGAATTTATTTATATAAATGTATTTTGTTAGAATGTCTTTACGAATGTTTGTTAACTAGTATATTTGTTTAACGGGTAATACTAATGAGTAATGTATCTTATTCTTTCATAATTGCATAGAGAAGGAATTCAATATTGATTATACAAGAAAAATATTTGGAATCGAGTTCAACAACAAGTATATATGCGAAGATCAAGTGGATTATACGGACCACTGAAGAAGATCAAGTGTATTTGTTCAATAATTGTATATTCAAGAATGCTATTTTTTAAAAATTTTATTCATCTTTGATGATATTCTTTTAGAATATGTATAACTATTTTAAATGTATAAGGATATTAGTCTGTAAGAATATGAATGAATTTGTTTTTTATGTCTCAAATCAAATATCTGCATTGGAAATATATTCTGCAAGAATAAAATCGAAAATATATTTACTAGTTTATGGTTGACATTCTGTCATTCTAACAAAATAATATTCTATTAGAATAAAATTCTGAAAGAGCATCATTCTAACAAAAAAATATTCTGACATAATAAAATTGGTAAAAAATTGAAATTGAATTAATTAAAAAATTCAGATTTTTTAAAATTAGGATAATTAATCATCCCTAAAAATCCGAAAATTTCATTTTATAAATGTAGTTAATTGTCCAAAATACCCTTTTACTTAAAATTGTGTGATTATATGTTACATGTTACCCCATTGTAATATCATACACTCTCAAATCATGTCCATTGATTAATTTCATCCATTGGTCCAAATTTGTGCATTCTAGCACACAATACTTAGTAAAAACAAAATAACCTTTGTGACGTCTTGAAAAACGCCAAGGCCTCGCTATATCTTACAAGGCATGAGGCTTGGCTACGCCGCCAAATCACATTTTACGTTATTTACAACCACTCAAATATATACAAGAGACCCAAAATACTCAATCTCAACTCTTAATCCAATGCATTTTGGCTTGTTTGGATGATCTTATTGCATGTGGGTCTATTCCTTAATCCATATGTGAGGCTTTCCTAATTCCACCTCTAATCATGTAAAATCATAAAATAAATAATAAAAGTTATTACTTTACTTAAATAATAAGGTGAAAAATATAACATAAGTTCTAACATTCAATAACGTAAACATTTTTGTAATGTTCACTGACTTCCTGAAAGATGACATTTTTGTAAACTTTTAATGTTATTGTAAATCGGTGACTGTATGTTAGATTAAATGTATATTGACAGGTGAAAACATTAGGCTTTTGTTAATATATGACTTGTTTATATAATTGGATGATAGTGTTTGTGTGTGTGTGTATATATATATATATATATATATATATATATATATATATATATATATATATATATATATATATATATTAAAAGGGAAAACTGCAATAAAGTTCCTATGTATTGCCCGTATAATCGATTTAGCCCTAATAATTTTTTTTTGTTGCAATTTAGTCCTAAATACATGTAAACGTAATCAAAACGGGATATTTAATAGGTTATCCGGTATCTAACTGATGTGGCAGCTTACGTGGAAGTCATCATGTTAAATAACATCCTACGTACCATTTAAGAGGGCTAAATCATTGAATCGAGCTTGTCTTCTTCATTCTACAGTCAAAGGAGCGAGCAATTAGGGAAAATTGGCAATAGGAAATCGATGTCAAGTTCGTCAAGCACCAACATCAGAATGTGCTATTGTGGAGATAGGGCTGGAATGTGGATATCATGGACTCGAAAGAATCCAGGTCGGAGGTTTTTTGGTTGCCCAAATTACATGGTATAGAATCTTCAAATCTCACTCAAATTCTTCTAATCCTCTAAAATTCCCATTTTTCTATGTTAAAAATATGCATCTTGCTATGTTATGTAGGATGAAGAGAAGGACTGTGGGTATTTTCGTTGGATTGACCCATCACTATTGAATAAGTGGTATAAAGAAAGAGCAGATGAGTTAGGAGGTGTTGCTAATGAGGGTGTAGTTATTCCTTTCAATAACCCTGTTAATGAAGGTGAAATACCTGTTGATGGCCCTATTGCCCCTGTGAATGTTGATGTCCCTATTGCCCCTATGAATGCTTTTGAACCTGATAATCAAATTATAATGCATGAGAATGTTATACCCTGACTTAATAGCATAATTAGTGAGACGTTGTTGCAACTGATGTGGTGATTCATACCTTTCACCAAGAAGGGGCTTCATCTTATTCCACTTAACTGATGGGTCGTGAATGGGGAAGCCTGCACCAACCGCATCTCCCAAATCAAGATCATTAGCCCCTGTTGTGTCATCAATTTCCTCTTCTGAACCAAACCCTTCTTCATCTTCATCAACTAAGTCATTGTCTTCATCGACTTCATTATCTTCATAATCAGAACTGAAGTTAAGGAAAGCATCCTTGCATCTCTCTTTACCCTGTGTCTTGAAATCATCTTATTCCATTTCCACATCTATGTGCTTAGTATCGAGCACCTCCTCATCATCTTCGTATTCTTCAGATGACTCATGGTGAACTTCCTCTGATTCGACAACCATTGGGTTTTACCTTCGTTTCTCTCAGTAAAACCCTACTTCCTTCGTGTATCACTCTGTAAACACCCTAAATTTTTCTCTCAATCGATTTACCAGACGTCGAATGCAGTGGAAATGGAAGGGTAAAACTCACTTGTACACGTAAGGTGCCACATGCACATAGTACCGGTGGGATACCGACTAACCTATTAAATATCCTATTTTGGTTACGTTTACATGTATTTAGGACTAAATTGCATATATATATATATATATATATATATATATATATATATATATTATATATATATATGCTAAATCGATTATATGGGCAATACATATGGACTTTATTGCAATTTTCCCTATATGGATGACTTGTTTATATAATTGGATGACTTGTTTCCTTGTCAGGTCTTGAAAAACGCCAAGGCACTGCTATATCTCACATGGCTTTAGACTTGGTTACACCGCCAAATCACACATTACGTTGTTTACAACTATTCAAGTATATACAAGAGACCCAAAATACTCAATCTCAACTCTTAATCCAAAGCATTTTGGCTTGTTTGGGTGATATTCTAAGTCCACCTCTAATGGGTATGTTCCTTAATCCCTATGTGAGGCTTTCCTAATTCCACCTCTAATCATGTAAAATCATCAAAGAGCTTCTAGCCCAGCGATATCCGGTGTTGCATTTTCTCCTTGAGGTTGAGGGTTCAAGCCTCACTGTGGACATATATGAAATAATTTAAGAGTAATTTAGTATATACTTGTATTTAGTAATTTAGTATATATATATATAAAAATTAGTTGCCTTGTCAGGTCTTAACGCCAAGGCTTTGCTATATCTCACATGGTTTGAGACTTGCTACACCATCAAATCACACATTACGTTATTTACAACCATTTAAGTACATATAAGAGACCCAAAATACTCGATTTTAACTTTTAATCCAAAGCATTTGGGCTTGTTTGGGTAATCTTATTGCATGTGGGTTTATTCCTTAATCCCTATGTGAGGCTTTCCTAATTCCACCACTAATCGTGTAAATTCATAAGATAAATAATAATAATTATTACTTCACTTAAATAATAAGGTAAAAATATAACATAAGTTCTAACATTCAATAACGTAATATCACAATTAACAATTACACAAACATTTTTAAATAACACTTCAGATAAATTTCGTAGTAATACGCCGAACATTACACAAAAGAAAAAATACATTGAACAAAAGAACTTGACTAAATACAAACTATTAGGTATGTAAAAAAAAAAACTTAAACAATATTTTTATTAGCATAAAAACTAGCCGTCAAGGCGACGAAGGAGCTTTTTTTTTTTTTATAAATATATATATATATATATATATATATATATATATATATATATATATATATATATATATATATATATATATATATATATTCCCTAATAAAAGACTCTTAAATATGCCACATGGCTCTTTTTTACAACTCTACTTTGCCACATGGCACATTCTCCTTCACTCTTCCCTTTAAGTCCCGCCTAAAAGCTTCATCGTTGATGCATTCCTACAAAATAGGCATTTAAGTTAGAAACTATTCAATTATCCCATCAAATTAGCAAAAAATCATTTAATTATCTGAAATTGAATTTTATTAGCCAATAAATCAGCTAACGTAATCTCATCAAAAAAATTAAAACTAATACCCTATTTATTTATGTTCGTTGACCCACCAAAACTACATTCTCTTTCTGTATCAATGAGGTAGCAGCTTCTATTCTGTTTCTGCATAGGCTAGAAGATTCATTCTCCATCAGGTAATTATTTGTGTTTTTTTGCTTTGTGTATGGTTCATTTTGTTTATATCATATTTCTTTGTTGATGTTCGGTTTCAGATTCAGTTACATTTCTTTATGTCGATTAACCTATATGCAGCAAGTTGTTAACAATACATACTACATAATAGATAAACGTAATATCTTCAATTTTAATTTGATTTAAAACGATTTTGTTTCTCAGTTTGTTCCTTAATCCTAGCGTCTTTGAATTTATAAATAATTCTTATCTTTCTCAGTGTTGACATCAAATATCCTTTCATTTATCAATGCTCTGCAGAAACTGAAGAAAAAAACATTAATATTCACATCAGTTTAATATGAATCGTCATTGTATGTCCTTCTCTGTGTGTTCATTTTTAATTTGTATGTATCTATGTATGTATTATGTTGACGTTTGTTTGTATAGAACTGTATTTATGCGCTTTGTTAGAACAATATTTATGAAAATATTACTTATGTTTATTGATGCCAAAAAGATGTTAGATGGGATGCTTATGGAGGATTTTCGGTTAGCTGACTAGAAAGCTATTGATACAAATTCCGTTTTAATATGTTTGTTTAAATGAAATTTGTTTCGCTGTCATTGTCATTATTCCTGTAGGGACGGAATGGTATTTAATTAAATAAATCGAATAACAATCCAAACAAATGTTTTCAGTTACAAAATCAACGATTATGACTGAAAAGTACATTGCTATTGCCTTAACTTTTAGAACATACTAATAAATAAATTTTAGTAATATGTTTCTGTTTTTTGTTTCAATCATTATTATCTTTATTCTTTTAATATGAGTATAATGCTATCAGGTCATCCATTCCTCAGGTGAAATTCTTACAATACAATGCCTTAATAAGAAATCTTTTCAAAGTACATTGTTCTAATAAGAAGAAATGAAAGTAGAATGACATAATAAGAAAGAGTTAGGAAGTAGATTGTTTTTAAGGTGTTAATTAGTAATTTCGTACCTACATTATCAATCAAGAGTCATTTAATTTGAATATGAACCTGGTGCAAAGTTGGCTGCTTCTATCCCATTGTAGTTTATAGAAGCCTTGTCATAAATCCTAATAATATATAAATAAGTCTCAAATAAAGAATCCAATCAAGGTTTGAAAGAAAAAAAATCTTAAAAGTCAAACCTTGCTCGATTCCACTGTCAAATAACATAAGGTAGATGTATTTTTTATTTTATGTCAGCCAAATAAAGAAAAAATGGTAAGAATGATCAAATTGACCAAAAAAATCAAATGGTCATTTTAACTAAAAAAAACTCTACGTTATTTATTTATTTATTTTAAGTATTTTATGTCAGTATAAGGTTCTTCTTTGTTCATTTTAATTTTACCCCCCCCCCCCCCCCCTAAAAAAAAGTATACTTTCTATTATAAAAGATTCATATCATTATAACAATATTTTTTGTTCGGTTTAAGTTTTATGTAGGCCAAATGACAAAAAGGGTCAAAATGGTCAAATTGACCAAAAAGGCAGAAATTGTCATTTTCAGTAAATTCTACAAAGAGCATTATACTTTTGTGTAGGGAATTTTCAAAACTTAACAACACCACTTTAGAATTGTACAATGATATAACTAGGAATTTTTTTTTTTTATCAAAGTTATGTTATAACCAATGTTATCACATAGATATACATAGAGAAATAGTATGCAATGCATACCTTTTCTATGAAGCCTGCTTGAAAATATGAGTGAACAACACAATTGCCATGTATAGCTAGAAGAAACCCAACAAAAGGTTAATTAAAGTTTGATAAACTATAATTTTGTATGTTTATGACAAGTAAATGTTATAATTATATAGCATTGTACTTTGAAAGTACAATGTTATAATTATGTATTGTATGACAGTTAATTAGTTCTACATGTAGAACATCAATCATGCTACTGGATTTCTAAACTATGATTGGATTAATATAATATGAAGACATAAATAGAAAACTATAATTATCAACTTATTAGAGTTTCTTCAGAAGGGGCTGACTTTGAGAAAAAGCTTGAAGGCACATTACATGCAACATGTTTTGCATGGGTTTAAGTACTAGAACCTACAAGATGATAGTAGTAGACATAATTTATAAACACTAAACGATTCATATTGAAAACTATTTATTTCCCTGTTTGTATACAAGTGTTTCGAAATTTACGCAAAAAGTGGAATTTTTATTTATAACATCTTTTATTCTTAATTTTCATTTGTACATTGTTATATATTTTTAATATACGTTTATTGCAATAAATCAATTTGTATTTTTCCATATACCAATTTTCTTTTGCTTCATTCATTATGGTTGTTTTATATTTCATTATATAATATCATCATTTTCTTTTATTAATTTGCATATAAATAATGTCCCAAGAATCTTAAAAACATCACATATTTATTTGAAACAATCATTATAAAGTTACATAACAATCACATATCTTTATCACTTAATAATTTTTTAAAAATAATTGAATAATAATCATCACTTAATTATCATAATTTGTTAAATTTTATAACCATGGTTTCCCACGGTTATAACCATATATATATATATTAAAGTTGAAATTTTATCCAATTATGGTTCGTGTTACAGTTGAAGTTACATTCCAGCTCCCTGAACTTTTTATGTTTGTGAATTTTTTCACTTTTGTTTGATTTCTATCTTCTCTTTACAATGAGTCCTTTTATGTAATTATATTGGACCTCTTGGTAAATGGCCGGTCAATGATGGATACATGTCAACTTTCTCCTCTAATTTCATCTTCATCCTCAACACACGTTTCAATTTTTTGTTTCACCGTTTTTTGGCCCAATGAAATCCTTCCAGAGCATCGACTCCACCACTTCTCTACCGACTTATACTCTAGGATGTTTAACAATCGACCCCCACCTCTTCTTCCTCAAATATCATCATTGATTTCATCCACTTCTTCAACCCTAGAACATTACCTCTCAACGGTTTACGAGTTCCGTCCACCTCAGAGAAGAAGACGGTCGTCTCGACTACCACCACGTGATCAACTTCACACCTGCTTTACCCATATCGTACCCCATCATCGACGGCTTTCTACAAGGCGCACCGCTACCGACCAACTTCGTCGACGACGTCGCTAAGTCCGGTAACATTGACATTCTCAGCCGTCGGTTGCATCGATCCTCTAAGCATAAGGTGAAAGGTGCCGTTCGATTTTCGGATC